AATCAGATATGCAAAAAATAAAGAGAAAGGGATCCAAGTGTATCACTAAAGAAAGCCAGCAAACAGGTGCCTGGGTGGCTCAGTAAGTTAAGCATCTGCCTTTTGCTCGGGTCATGATCTTGGGGTCCTGGGATCAAGCCCCACATCGGGCTCCCTGCTCAGTGGAAGCCTGTTTCTCTCTCTTCCACTCCCCCTGCTTGTGTTCCCTCTCTCACTGTCTCTCTCTCCCTGTCAAGTAATAAATAAAAATCTTAAAAAAAAAAAAAAAAAGCCAGCAAACCATGAGAGAAGAAAGGAACAGAGAAAAACAACAAAACAACTATAAAACAAGTAACAAAATGGGAATAAGTACATACCTATCAATAATTACTTTGAATGTAAATGGATTAAATGTTCCAATCAAAAGTAGGGTGACAGAATGGATTCAAAAGTAAGAGCCCATCTATATGTTCCCTATAAGAGACTCTTCAGACCTAAAGACATCTGCAGATTGAAAGTGAAGGGATGAGGGGTGCCTGGGTGGCTCAGTCGGTTAAGTGTCTGCCTTCGGCTTGAGTCATGATCTTGGGGTCCTGGGATCGAGCCCTGCATCGGGCTCCCTGCTCCGCGGGGAGGCTGCTTCTCCATCTCCCACTCCCCCTGCTTGTGTTCCCTCTCTCTCTGACAAATAAATAAATAAATAAATAAATAAATAAATAAATAAATAAATAATCTTTAAAAAAAGAAAGTGAAGGGATGAAAAAGCATTTGCCATGCAAATGGAAGTGAAAATAAAGCCAGGTTAGCAACACTTAGACAAAATAGATTTTAGAATTATTGATGCAATAGGGCGCCTGGGTGGTTCAGATGGTTGAGCATCTGCCTTCGGCTCAGGTCATGATCCTGGAGTCCCTGGATCGAGTCCCGCATCGGGCTCCCTGCTCCTTGGGAGCCTGCTTCTCCCTCTGCCTTTCTCTCTCTCTCTCTCTCTCTCTCTCTCTCTCTGTCTCTCATGAATAAATAAATAAAATCTTTAAAAAAAAAAAAAAAAAAAAAAAAAGAATTATTGATGCAATAGTATTAACCATAACAAAAAATAATATCATATATTTTCTTGTAGACTGTCTTCATGACTCAGGAAAAAAGATATTTCTTCTCCTTGAAATTACTGTCTGTATTATACTCTGCATCCCACCCTTTTCCACATTCTCCATTCATTTATTTGTCCTCCTCTTTGTCTATCAGACTTAAAGGCATTCCCTTGCACTGTGTCTGTCTGACCTTCGTGTCTTCTAAATACAAATATGATATTTAGTCTTGTCTATTTCACATCTGACTGCAGAGGCAGCTGCAGCCATCAAGCAAATGAATTGGCTTCACTGTCAAGTTGTGGCCTCTTCCCTCTAATCATCCTTCAGGCTAACTAGCCAGCCACTAAGTGCCCATATCCAACTAAGATCCTGAGTCTGTTCCAAATGCCCTCCTAAATTCTCAATCCAATGTCTCCACTTGAATGTCTCAAATGCACCTTGAGCTCATATTCCAACGACCCCAATTTCCGTTAATAGTCTTGCCATCCAAACAAGTTCAAAACCCAGATTCAGCCTTTGGCCATAAAACTCTACACACAGTGCTGAGAAATTGTAACTGCCTCGAATAAGTCTGCTCTGATGTAAGGGTGTCTCTCTTTTGTGATGAGTCCTAATGTTATTAGTGTTCTCTATCCAATACCATTCTCCATGCATCTTATACATTGTCAGCATGCAATGATCATCATTGGGTAGTTGATTATTTCATGTACTATTGAAACACATTTGTATCCTACTTCTACTGCTATTTCTGCATTTATTAGCTAGAAATTCTAAAGAAGCATAAAGATTTTTCCATAATCTTCTATTCAGTTACCTTCTATTCAGTTACTTCTATTCAGTACCAAAAAGGGAAGAAAGAGCTTGATACCTTTGCTCTATTTAGCAATTTCCAGAATAATTATTTGGATCACTAACATCATCCTCAAACAACAACCATGTTTTTTGTTTTGGTTTTTTAGGGAGAGAGTGAGTAGGGGGAGGGTGGTGGAGGGGCAGAGAGAGAGGAGCAGGTGTTTTTTTTAAATATATTTATTTTAGAGCGAGCACGTGAGTTGGGGGAGAGGCAAAGGGAGAGGGAGAGAGAATCCTCAAGCTGACTCCCCGCTGAGTGGAGCCTGATGCAAGGCTCAATCTCAGAACCCTGAGGTGGTGACACCAGCTGAAACCAAGAGTTGGACACTCAAACCACTAAACCACCCAGGTGCCCCAGAATGTTTATCTCAGGAATAAGATGCCCCCTTTGCACATGTGCTCAGACTGTGATCATAGTGCCTACTATCACAGCAGGAAAAAACATTTGTCAAGTGGCTCTTCTTTTCAGATAAGTCTAAGATTTTAAAATTAACTGTATCTGTCTTAGTTTGTTAGGGCTGCTATACAGAAATACCATAGACCGAGTGGCTTATAAACAACAGAAATTTAATTTCTCACAGTTCTGGAGGTTGGAAGTCCAAGATCAAGGTGCTGGCACATTTGGTGTCTACTGAGAGTCCACTTTCTGGTTTACAGACAGCTTTCCTCTTACTGTGTCCTCACATGGTGGAAGGGGCAAGGAAAATCCCTAGGATCTCTCTTATAAGGGTACTAATTCCATTACTAAGGCAGAGCCCTCATGACCTAATCACCTCCCTAAGGTCCCATCTCTTAATACCATCACATTAGGCATTAGGTTTTCAACATATGAATTGAGGGGGACACAAACATTCAGCCCATAGCAGTATCTGTGTTAGGAAATTCAGTTAGAAATATATGAAGGAGGGGAGAAACAGGTGAGATTGCTGGGGTTGGAATACTGAGATGTATCCATGCAGGGAAGAATTTCTTTGCATGGGAAACAGGCAAAATGCTACATCATCTTGCCCCTTCTGCTGCTGCTGCTGCTTCTTCTTTTTTTAGGGAGGTAGGGGCGGAGGGGAAGGGAGAGAGAGAATCTTAAGCAGGCTCCACGCCCAGTGCAGAACCCAATGTGGGGTTCAATCTCACAACCCTGAGATGATGACCTGCGCAGAAATCAAGAGTTGGATGCTTAACTGACTGAGCCACCCAGGCACCCCATCTGTTTCCTTCTGACATTTCCCTTGCCGTGACCCTAGCTGAATTCTTTCTTCCTTGTCCCTTGACTGCACATACCAAAGCCCACAAAAATGACTGAAGCTTTGATCACCATATAGTTGAAGAGCAATAATATTTGTTGGTTGCCAACTACGGAAAGCATGCATTTCATGACTAACATTGCAGTGTGTACATTCAGGTTTTTCTTTGGATTCCTGTTCTGCTGAATGGAATCTATAATATATTGCCTTAGTTTAAGGGAATAATTTTTAATAGAAAGGGCAGAATAAATATAAAGACACCGGGATAATAATAATCTTAAAATTATAATTTATGTCAAACTTCTCATTTTAGGTAAATTAAATCTATCTTATATATTCCACATAAAATTTGAAGGAACTTCATAAGCTTATTTAAAATCTTACAGAAAACAAATTTTTCACTATTCTCTACCTGTTTCAGGGACACACAACATTTTCTTCTCCAATATCCCAGTAATGGCTTGTGTGAAGTCTTTTCTCTCTTGACCCTGAGCCAACTCACAAAGTTGACTCTAAAGCTTCAGTCTATTTGAAGAGCAACAAGATAATGTTTATTAGTTCGCAGCTCTGAGTGAAGGTACTTTGTACCTAAGTGACACTATGATATAACATTATGATATCTTGTGTTACTCCCTCATACAGTGAATGCAGGAATAAGTCCCCCTTGTGGAGTCTTTAAGCAACACTACAACAAGGCTGTGTGAATTATACTCTCAGTGGCATATGAAATTAAAGGATTCATTACATTCAGAGCTCCTAGGAGACGGAGGCACCATACCCCATACAAGAGGCCAGATGGGAGGCCAGATGGAGCCAGGGAACTGGATGGAGCCCACAGACAGAGTAAGGACCCGTAGGCAAGTGTCATTATTGGGAGTCAAGGTGGGTGCACAGACAAATGACGTGAGGGAATTTCATTAATACACTGGAATGTCACTAGATCACAGGGAAGGACAAGAAAAGGAATTTGTATAGGGGACTAACCTTGTTATCACACTGGTATACCCGGTCACGTGGATGGGGTGCTCACAGCCGGTTTGTAGGATATTGAGGCAGCAGGAAAATGTGGTTTTAAAAATTTACAATAACAGGGGCACCTGGGTGGCTCAGTCCTTAAGCGTCTGCCTTCTGTTCAGGTGGGATCCAGCTCCCCATCCGGCTCCCCTGCTCAGCGGGAATCCTGCTTCTCCCTCTCCTACTCCCCCTGCTTGTGTTCCCTCTCTCGCTGTGCCTGTGTCAAATAAATAAATAGAATCTTTAAAAAAAAAATTCACGGGCGCCTGGGTGGCTCCGATGGTTGGGCGTCTGCCTTCGGCTCAGGTCATGATCTCGGGGTGCTGGGATCGAGCCCCGCATCGGGCTCCCTGCTCAGTGGGGAGCCTGCTTCTCCCTCTCCCTCTGCCACTCCCTCTGCTTGTGCTCTTCTGTCTATCTCTCTGTCAAATAAATAAATAAAATCTTTAAAATAAAATAAAATAAATAAATAAATAAAAATTTTACAATACAGCGTGCCCGCTTGCTCCATCAGAAACTTCTAAAATAAAAAGATACAGAAAACGCAATTTGGGAAATTTCGGGTGCGTCCCCTTTAGGAGTATCCGATGCCGCCCCTTCTTCTTTGGAGCCTCTGTACACCCTTTCCCAGTGTCCCCGTCCTGGACGCTGGGTCCTTGGCTCCTAGAAAGAGCGGAGGATTCCTCGTTGGGCCGGAGGCAGGACAAAAACTACATTACCCAGAAGGCTGTGCCGCACGAAGGGGCGTTGCTGGGCCCCGCTGGCGGGGGCGGGGCTTCCGGTGTCTCGAGTGGGCGTATGCTGTGACGCGACGGGTGGGTGCATGCGGGTGAGCTCCCGGTGGCTCGTGGGGCCGGAGCGGGGGACGGAGGCGAGGGGCTTCGCCCGCATCTCTGTGGAGCCCGGGGACGGCCGGCTAAGCCCGCGGGAGCCCCGCGGCGGCCTCGTGCGGCCCTGCTGTCCCCGCGGCCCGATGGCGCCACCCGTGGACCCGGCGCAGGTGAGTGGGCGTGCGGGCGGCAGTGCCCTGTGACCCTGCGCCTCGCCGCACCCCTGCCGCTGTCTCTCGGCGCTCGGGGTGGGTCCCTCTCGGCTCCGGAAGGCAGGTCGAGGGCTACGTGGGGTAGCGCCCCTTTCTGGCAACCGGTGGGGTGCTGTGCGGAAGGGTCAGGAGTGGCTTCTGCGACCCCCTCCCCCCCGCCCCACACCGTGTGTCCCGACCCGCAGGCCCACGACCCCACTGTGGGTTCCGGCCGCGCCCCTTCCCGAGGCCGTGACCTTGAGCGAGTCCCCCCGCTGCGCTGGGCTTGCGTGTTCTCGGGTGTAAAATAGAGGAGTATTGACAGTCCCTCGTCCTGGGTTGAGGGAACCAGAAGGGGTCGGTGGGTGGTGTGTGTCCCCGGTGCCCAGCAGGGTCCCGGGAGCATCGCTCCGGGAGCTCTTTCCTCGGAGATGCTTCCTGAGTCTGTTGGTCTCGGCTCAGCACAGCGGGAGTCTGGCCTTGCACCTTCCTGGCCTCCGGCCTTCAAAGCGAAGGGCTGGGGTGGAGGAGAGGCGGTAGGTTTTTGGAGTTGTTGCTGTGCTAGGGCAGAAAAGGCGGAAGGGCAGGCACTTTATCTTTCCGTTTACAGCGAATGGAACGGACTTTTTTCCCCTGACAGTAGGGGATCCATTTTCTTGTTTCAGACATTCCGTTAGAGTTGAAACGCGAGTCCATTCAAACGGTCAGTGATGATAGCGTTCAGGAGTGTTGGTGTCCCTTTGGACACAAATGCACAAGGGGATCCGGCTAAGTCCCTAGCAGTCACCTCGAGTACCCTCTTCGCAGCCTTGATCATTGTCAGCACTCGTCTTACTCCCATCCACACGGCTCCCTCCCTCACTTTATTTCAGACCCACTCCAGTGTGCCATCCTGAAAGACGGCTTCCGTGTTGCCCCATGTAAAGCGGACTACAAGTAGTCTCCTTGCTCTGTTTTCTTGTCTTTGGAATCTTTAGGGCCCTCTGACATTGTCTTGCTGATTTTAGTTGCTTGTTTAGGATCTGTTTCCAGCCCTGGATCATGAGCACCTGTTGCTGCCCTATGCCAAGACCTAGAACAGCCTAGGCTTGTAAAAGGTACTCAATAAATGGTTGAATGAGTGAATGGGTCTCCCCCTCAGGGGCTCCCATCATACTTGTATCAAATGCACACAACCCTCACCGTGGCCCTCAGGGCCCTGCTCCATCTGCCCCTGAGACTTACCTCAGTGCTCCCTTTCCCTTCTTCCCTTGCTCACTGCACCCAGCTGGGTGGTACTGAAATTGTCAAACTCCTTCCCATTTTGCAGCCTTTGCCCTTGCACTTCCATCCCAGGCCCTGTCCCCAGGTCCCTGCAGGGCTGTCTGTCCGTATTCCTCCTGTGTATCCATGCCACCGCTTAGAATAGCCTTTCCTGGCTGTTTTATTTCTAGTTAAGGTGCCCCTGGCCCCCACCTGCCTATTTTCTGGTAATTCTGTCATCTTTTGCTGGGTGTTTAGATCCTGTCTCTGCTCCTTAAATGTGAGATTGTGGGCAACTTTCTAAAGCTGCCTGAGCCTCAGGCTGCTGGAGGTAATGGTGGCACTGACCTCATGGGCTGTGGGAGGATTAGTAAAAGTCACAAAATACATTGAACACATTCCAGGCCAGGCACTCCACTGTTTTCCACGTGAACATTTTCTCTTTACTTAACCGCCTGGTGAAGTAGGAAGGATTATTGTACTGATGTGGAAATCAAGGCTTAGAGAAATGATGGGATGTCCGCCCCATGGTCACAGCTGGCAAGTGTCAGATTCAAGAGTCTTAATTTGGTCCCTGGGAGTCTGGCTCCAGAACAGGGGATTTTTAATCACTTTATCTCAGTGTGTGAAGCCCTCAGCTGGGGCGGCCACATGGGGAGGACCAAGGAGACTTGGCTGCTATTGCTGCAGTTCTCATTGTTGGAGTTATCATCATGATCATTTTCCCTGTTCCTCTGATGTCCCAGATCACCTATTGTCTGCCCCCACCGTCCTCATGGGAATGCTACTGTCTGTCATCTCCAGCAGCTTCCCAGGGGAGGTTCTTCGCTCAGCCATAATTGCGTTATGTCCAAAGGCTGCATCTCTCTCCCCCTTGAGCCCAGCACAGAGCTCTGCTCTCAGGAGGCCTCAGTGATGCAGGCCTGGGTCTCTCTACATCTTGACCAGAGACTGAGTTACAGGGTTCTGACCCCACCCAGCAGCACAAGGCCAACATCATTACCTCTGTTTGACTTTCCAGGTTTTGGTTACCTTCAAGGATGTGGCCGTGACCTTCACCCAGGAAGAGTGGGGACAGCTGGACCTGGACCAGAGGGCCCTGTACCAGGAAGTGATGCTGGAGACTTGTGGGCTCCTGGTCTCACTGGGTAAGGGCTCACCTCTCATCCCTGTGGGGTAACCCAGCCTTCTTGATTCCTGGCTGATCAAGAAGGTCACAGCAGCTATCTTTCCCTCTTCCCTGAAGACCCTGCAGTTTTCTGGTTCCTTCTCTTCCTACCTGGCCTCCCTCCATCAGGTCTCCGTCAGGGATCATTGGAATAGAAACCACCTCCTTCTGAACACAAACCCTCACCCCAATACCCAGCATGCTCAAGCTGCCGTCTGACCTCCATATTCCAGACTGCGTAGGAGCCTGGTTGGGCCAGGCGTCCAGGGCCCAGTTAGCGGGGCTGTGAGTGATGGGCTGTTCTCAGGAGAGAGGGTGAGTCAGGCAGATCCCCATATGGCATTTGTCATCAGTGCCCCCCGTGGGATCTTCCTAAACAACATAGCTATAAAAAGACCCCTGGTGTCTCCATGATCATCACCTGTTCTTCTGAGGCCTGGGTCACAGTCCTCCACTGAGGTAGGAGATGCTTTAGAAAGTGCACAGGAATGGCACAAAATGCCAGAGGCGGACACCTTGAGAAAGCCAGTCCTTTAACCTCCTCGGTCTGGAAGGCTGATTGGTGTCAAGAGAAAGTCTCAGAACAGTGCTGAGTATTTCATGTGCCCTAATTGTGGGTAATTTTTCTCTTCAACAGAAGGGACAGCTTGTAGCTCACAGTCCTGAACTAGCTACATGAACTTGCTAGGGCTCTGATGGCATTACTTTGATCTCGTTGTTGTGTTTTGATGGTAACCTGCCATTTGTGGAGAGTGAACTTGACTTTGCTCGTTTACCAGAGCAAAACAGAGCTCCCTTTTAGAACAAAATATGTAACAAAAATTAAAAGTGGGGCCGGTTAAAGAGAGGCCATCAGTGACAATGGCACCGTGGGTGTGAGGATGCAGACCGTTCACTCTGAGTTCAGGTCAATTCTTAGATGAATCGTGATGAGTCATACATAGAAATATCAGGGGACCTTAGAAGGCAGACGTCAATTCTTAGATGAATCGTGATGAGTCATACATAGAAATATCAGGGGACCTTAGGCGTATGTAGCCAGGTGGTCATAATCCATCGTGGGTGCTTCAAAAAAGGCGTCTCAGGAAGTGACATTGGAACTGAGCCTTGAAGCTTGGAGGGGAGGTGGGGGAGGAGTTCCAGGTGGAGGAACCAGTACAAGAAGAGACCCTGAGGTGGGAGGGGGCTCAGCTCCTGGCAGAGCCAAAGGAGCGTCTGGTTCACCTTTTCTCCTGCCCCTCCCTGAGCTCCGGGCCAGGCATGTAGGACACACTGGTGACTGTTACCGAGACTTGTCCGAATGAGTCCTGGGCTGAGGATCAGAACCTGCTAGCTGATAGACTTCAGTGGGTCCTGGTGCCTCAGTCCTTGAAATTCTGTACAGAACCCACCTATCTCTGTTGAGCTGTGTCTGGCTGCATGAAACAAAAAAGCAAGCTTGAAACCGGCTTCCCCTGAAGGAAATCTCCCATCTCACCTAATGAGAAGCCCCAGGGTGGGGCTGGCCCCCAGGCTGAAGGTTGCAGCCACCAGTTCCATCCTCAGTGATGTGAAGGTTCTCTCTGCTCCTCTCCCTGGACCAGGCATCTCCCTGTTCCTCAGGCTGGCTCCCTTTTGGGCCTGTGGGGTGCTGCAGCCAGGACTGAGGAAGCAGCCCCCTTGTTCAGCCTCCCCTCACATTGGAATAAAGGCTTTGTCTTCAGCTCAGGTCACCTGCCTCTCTCAGATTACCAGTGATCAGAGATGCCATTCACCACTTTCTGCCCTGGCAGTTTTTAGTTCTCTCTGGGAGAGAGAATTCCCTAGGGAGAGCCAGAAATACTGTTGGCTAGGCCTCACCCCAGGCAGTTTTGTTTCTTTTGGTTTGAGGTTGGAATCAAGCATCCCTAAGTGGTTCTGAAGTGCAGGGTGTTTGAGAACAGTGACTTAGATTAATTACAGAATCCCTTCTGGAAGGAGGGGCTCCCCTTCCCAGGGTCTCTTGGCTGTGTGTGAAAGTGGTGTGCCCCTGAGTAGGATTGGCTTCTGTCGATGAGGTTCAAGGACACTGATGTTGTCTGGATAGACAGCACCACCCTCTATGGCAGTTGCAGCCCAGGAATGGGATTTGTGCAGTTGGTTTCCAGGTCATAGGTCAGCATTTTCTCCACAGCTTCATTCAGTTCTTGTCCCTGCCATGAAGTCCCAGAGGGGATGGAGATACTGCTTTCTTCTCATACACCATGACCTATTTCTTTCTCCATCAACAGGGCATCCGGTTCCCAAACCAGAGTTGACCCATCTACTGGAGCACGGGCAGGAGCTATGGACAGGAAAGAGAGGCCTCTCCCGTAGCACCTGCTCAGGTAGGAGGGGACAGCTGGTCAGGTGGAGTCATGGGAGCCTTCAGCATGCAAGGAACCAGTGCCTCTGAACTTCTTTGTGAAACTTAGTGACCTCTTGGTCACATTCATGGAGAACATGAATGAGATGGAGTCTCCTAGTCTCTCAGATGAGGAAATCATGCTTTGAAGAAAAAAGTAACCTGTTCAAGATCACTCACTTGGTAGAGGCAGGACTGGACCAATGGCTTTCTGGCTCCAGAGCCCTCTTAACCACAACATGATGCCTCCCAGCAGAGCAGAAGCTTGTCTTTTATACCATTTGTCCCTGAGTGTCCCTCCATCCCTCTTCTGCAGTCTTAATTCTCTTCCTTTTATGGTGATCCCACTTCATTGTTGGCTTCACCAGGCATCTGGGGCCCTTTCTTCCTTTAATTGTTCAGCACTCTCCAGGAGTGACTCTACTTATGCTTGCTCCTCCCATTCCAACCCAGTGCTCCCTTCCTCTTTCTCTCTCTGGCAATTCTGATTCTCCATTAGGACCTAGCTCATGGGACACTTCTGGGAAGATGACCTCTTTTTTGTCCCAGTCCTGTTCGGTGCCACTTCTGTGTACTCTCTTAACACCAAGAGACATCAATTCTTGAAGCAAATACCCCACAGACAGTGTTATGTCCTCCCTCCTCTCCTCTGGACTGTGAGGAGGGGTTTCCACTCCAGATCCTCGGTTCCCTGGTCCAGCCTGTCCTCTGGATTTTCCCTTTAATGGTGTCAAGGGTACAAGGACCAGAGACAGTCCTTGGAAACCCAGGAACAGAGCTGTGGAACACAGCAATCCCAGGGTACTGTTTCATCCTCAGTTTCCCACTGAAGTGTTGAATTTGTTTCTTCTGTATTGAGTCACTAAAAGTTCCCCTCTCTGTGTTGGTTTCTCTGCAGGTGACAGTGCAAAACTTCAGACCAGGGACCCAAGCACTTCTCAACTGGTTTTGTCTGAGGGAGCCTTGCTCCAGGGAAGCCTGACTCAGGGATCTTCAAGGGACTCCAGGTTGGCGCACGCCAGGGTTTGGGAAGGGCTTTTGGAAATGCAGAAAGGTCAACTGAAGCCTGGGACAGATGCTCAAAAGGAGACCCATCTTGGGAGAATGAGCCTTGAAGATGACGGTTTGGGGACAGATGATAGTCTGCACTCTCAGGGACACGTTCTCCATGAATGTGACCCACAGGGACCAGGTAAAGGCCACATGATTCATGCAGGGAATAATCTCTACAAATGCAAGCAGTGTGGGAAAGGTTTTAGCCGAAAGTGGTACCTTGTTCGACATCAGCGGGTTCACACTGGAATGAAGCCCTATGAATGCAATGCGTGTGGGAAAGCCTTTAGCCAGAGCTCAACCCTTATTCGGCACTACCTCATTCACACCGGGGAGAAACCATACAAGTGCATGGAGTGTGGGAAGGCCTTCAAACGCAGGTCCTACCTCATGCAGCACCATCCGATTCACACTGGAGAGAAGCCCTACGAGTGTAGTAAGTGTCGAAAGGCCTTCACCCACCGCTCTACTTTTATTCGGCATAACAGGACCCACACCGGAGAAAAGCCCTTTGAGTGCAAAGAATGTGAGAAATCATTCAGCAACAGAGCACACCTGATTCAGCACTACATCATCCACACTGGAGAGAAGCCCTACGAGTGCATGGAGTGTGGGAAGGCCTTCCGATGCAGCTCAGAACTCATGCAGCACCAGCGGGTTCACACTGGGGAGAAGCCCTATGAGTGTGCCCAGTGTGGGAAAGCCTTTCATCGGAGCACGTACCTCATTCAGCACTCCATCATCCACACGGGGGAGACGCCATACAAGTGTCTGGAGTGTGGGAAGGCCTTCAAACGCAGGTCACACCTCCTGCAGCACCAGCGGGTTCATACTTGAGAGAAGCCCCCTCAGTGCCATGAATGTAGAAAGGCCTTCACCCACTGCTCCTGCTCCTCTTTTGTCCTTCATAAGGGGATCCACACTGGAGGAAGAAAAACAAAAACCAAAACCCTTTCAGTGTAAAGAATTTTTGTTGGCTCTTCAAACACATGAGTAGTCACACTGGAGATGACGCCTGTGATGCAGTGAACACGAGAAAGCCTCCAGCCACGGCTCCGCCCCCACTCATCATTGGATTCATACCGGAGAAAATTTCGAGAAGGCAGGTCACCCATGGGTCCACCTCTGTCAACATCAGAGAAAGCCCTGGGGAAACACATTCTGAACGCAACTACTGAGGAGTCTTTAGCCAGAAGACTCTTACCATCTGAGAATTCATAATGATCAGGAACCACATCGATGTCATTACTGTGAGAAAACCTGTGGACAGGTCAGCACTTACTGTTATGTCAAGAGTCAGATGGAATGGGACACAGTGTGGGCCTTAATGTGCCCATGAGAAGCATGTGGGAGACGGACAGTGGGTACTGTGCACTTACAAAGACCTCCGGCCACCGATCTGCTCCTTGGTTGACACTTAGACAGCCATCTTAGCATTATTTTTAAAAGAAGAATAAAAAGAAGGGGATGGAAACCTATACTCTAAACTGAAAAAAACAAATGTCTTCACAAACTCTTTCAGATTTCCCTGCCAAACCTATTAGTTTTTCATCAGTTTCATTATTTTGGTGGGGGAATGTTTGAGAGAAAGGGTCTCAGCCCTTTGTTTTTATGTGTGTGCACTGCTCTCCTGTATCCGGAAGCTTGGACAGTGAAGGCAGCTCTACAGACATTTGCTAGAAGCCTTGTTCCACATCTCTACCCTCAAGGAGCATCATTCTTTGTGAGAAATATGAAGGCTGAGTCATGAGATACTTGAACTTAGAAGAAGTTAGAATTCTGAAAATAACATCACATGCCACTTGCTTCTGATGTTGTCTGAAGGATCTGCATACAACAGCCACATTAAAACATGCTCCCTCCAGACTGTTTAAGGCTTTGATATTTTTAAGTAAAACTCCTTGTTTGTGTGGTTTTTCAATGCCTGCTGTTCTCCGTCACTTTTTGATTCCATTCTGCTCTTTTGTTTTCTGTATTTTTCCCCTGATGGTGTGGGTGTGGCCTTCTCAGTTGGAGCCTAATTCCTTCCTATTCTTGGGGTTTCACAGGTTAATCCCATGTAGAGGACTGTGCATTCTCAAGTCCCCCTCCACAGCTTTCTAGGGGTTGAATTACTGCTAAAACCAGTGAAATAAAACACTCTGCTGGGGTAAATTCATGATTAAGCCCAGAAAAACAAACACAGTATTCTCATTGATCTTACAAATGGTTGTGTAGGGTGCCTGGGTGGCTCAGTTGGTTAAGCGACGGCCTTCGGCTCAGGTCATGATCCTGGAGTCCCGGGATCGAGTCCCGCATCGGGCTCCCTGCTCAGCGAGGAGCCTGCTTCTCCCTCTGACCCTCCCCCCTCTCATGCTCTCTATCTCATTCTCTCTCTCATATAAATAAATAAAATCTTTAAAAAAAACAAACAAACAAAAAAAAAAAACAAAAAAAAAAACCAAATGGTTGTGTGAAGTTCTGTTTCAAAATAAAGTGCCAGCCCATGGCCGCGCCTCCCGGGGCCCCTGCCCGCCGAGCACAGCGAGCCCTCCCGATGGCAGGCTGCGAGGAGGTGAGCGTGTCCGGCTTGGAGGAGTTCCACCGGGCCGTGGAGCAGCACCATGAAAGACCATCTTCGCCTACTTCACTGGCTCTAAGGACGCTGGGGGGAAGAGCTGCTGCCCTGACTGCGTGCAGGCTGAACCGGTCGTACGAGAGGGGCTGAAGCGTATTAGTGAAGGATGTGTGTTCATCTACTGCCGAGTGGGAGAGAAACCTGACTGGAAAGATCCAAATAATGACTTCAGAAGAAACCTGGAAGGGAGTGCAGTGCCTACACTACTTGAGTATGGAACACCTCAAAACTGGTGGCATCTCAGTGCCTTCAGGCCAACCTCGTGCCAATGCTATTCTCTGAAGATTAAGATTTGATGGTGGCAATTGTGTCTGGATTTCCTGATTTCCTCTTAGTGTAAAGGCAATTGCATACTTGCTTTGAATTCACGTTAGCAATAAATAAATGAAGCGCCAGGGATTTGAACAGGAGATGCTGGTTGTGTACATGTGGGTGTCGGGTTTGTGTGGGCCTCACAGTTGCCACCATGAACTTACCATTCCCTGTGTGCCCGCATTGGCTGTGGTCATTTTACATTCATCCTGTGGACTTCCCTTCAAGACTAGTTTTCAGGGTACACAAGATAATGTTAATGGGTTAAAAATGTACAGAAAAATAGAAAGTGATCATTTCCTCACTTGGAGCTTTCCTCAGCGCCTTTAAAAGACTACACAGTTCACATTTTCATAGTGGGCATGCACCTTTTTTGTGGTACACACAGTATGGCTGCACTTCTTGATGAGTTAATAAGAGCTTTTGTTTGGATAGTGTGCAGTTTCCTGTCCTTCAGAAAGGAGAGTTGACTCAAAGCCCCCTGCCCTCTTCTGTGCTCTCTCTGGAGGGTGTATCGTAGCTGTGGTCATACTTGTGACTGAGCCTTGAGTTCAAGAGAGTTGGAGAAACCCCCTCTGGAAGCATCTTGGTTTTTATCAAAGGTTCTCCTTTGCCTGCCTGGGATGCTGACCCCAGTTTGTCCCAAAGCAGGAGTGATGCATTTTCCACTAGATGAAGGACATCTGAGGATTTGTTCCCTCAACTTCAAGGTTTTTCCATACAGTCTTGGTATGTTCAGTGCCAGGTCCTACTATACACTTGCTGCTGTGCTCAGCAGGGTTCTCCTGAGACCTCCATCCTTCATCTACATGACCACTTAGTGTGTTCTGGGCACACTGTGAGGAGTGGGGCACCTGGGCGACTGAGATGGGAATCCTGTCCTTGAGCAGGGAGGGAGTTTAATGCCTGGTGTAGGTGAGCAGAGTACACTGAAATCTAAAAAGAGAAGGAAATTGAGCACATGGCTTTGTTGGATTCTTAATCACCTTGAAAATTTTGTCTCCAAAGTAGGATTCTTCTCCATTCTTGAGTGCACTCAGGGTACTGAGCCTGAAGGGCGGGTGGTAGTGAATTAGTAAAGTTAGGATAAGTAGCAGAGTGGATTCTTACAAATGTCACAAAAGGTGACATTTAGTGCTCCAAAAAATCATTTACTGTATATCTTATGTGAGTCTCGGACTCTTTTAGGTATATGAAATGCACAAAACACCAAAAGAATTTTGCCCTCGTAGAACCTACATTCTGGGTGAGAAAACAGCAATGTTCTTTAACTTCCATAGCATGTTAGAAGGGAATAGGTTCTGTGGAAAAGAGAAAAGCAGGACAGCGGTGAAGAAAAACACAGGAGAGGGAAGAGTCCCAACATTAAGACTGTTCACATTAGGGCTGGTATGGATGATGTGTCTGGCATGTATTTTAAAGAGGTGAAAGAACAATCTATTTCTTCCTTTCTAATGCATATACGTATACATTTTTTCTTGCCATACAACACTAGGTAGTTTCCGTAATGTTGAACGCCAGGAGATCCCAATTATTTTTCTTTTGTCTCTGATCTTGGGTGAAATATTAACATCATATGTATGGCGTGTGTTGTAGAATCTTTTCAATGTTTAAGGAAAATCCATTCTATACTTTGTGGGTTTTTTTTTTTTAAAGCCAAAGAATGAGTGAATTAGCATCAAATTATATTTTATGCATCATCTGAGTTGATTATACCATTTTTTTTAAAGATTTTATTTATTTATTTGAGAGAGAGAATGAGATAGAGAGAGCATGAGAGTGGGGAGGGTCAGAGGGAGAAGCAGACTCCCCGCTGAGCAGGGAGCCTGATGTGGGACTCGATCCCAGGACTCCAGGATCATGACCTGAGCCGAAGGCAGTCGCTTAACCAACTGAGCCACCCAGGTGCCCTCTGATACCATTTTGTATGAAGTGGTAAAATGTATTGATTTTTGAATTTTTAAATTTTTCAGCTTTAAACTTACAGTAAGTACAAGAATAGTACAAAATACTCTTGTATAAATTCTACCCAGATTAAACAATTGTTTGTTTTGCATCTTTTGTTTTATTAGTCTCTCCCCGCATACATGTGCATATGTGTGTTTCTGAACAATCTGAATTAATGGGTAAATATATTGCCTCTGTACAAGTGAATGCTTCAGTGCATGCTTCCTAAGGGCACATCTTATATTATCAGAATATTATCATAATCAGGAAATTCAGTATTGGTAAAATACTATTATGTAATCCACGGGGCATGTTCAAATATTACCATTTGTCCTAATATTGCCCCTTGGTGTCTTTAGGGGTCCATGACCAAACCCAGAACAGCATGAGGCATTTTGTTGTCATTGCTCTCCACTCCTTTAATGAAAGTTAATTAGCCTTTGAGTTCCTTGGATATGATAGCTCATGAATTTTGTAGAATTTCCATTTGTTTCTCTGATGTTTCCTAATGATATTTTCCTTTTGCATTGTTTACACTGAAATCACAGAAGTGATACTGTATCTTTCATAGTACTTCATATCAGGAGGCACATGGTGTCCATGTTTACCAATACAGATAGTAACTTTAGTCACTTCTGTATGTTTGTGTTCTTGACTTAAGAATTACTATTTCCCTTTATTTTTTGTAACATTTAAGAGTTTATTTGAGCAAAAATTGATTCAAATCGGGCAGCATCTAATCTGGCAGATAGAAGGGAACTCTAAGGAGCTGTACAAAATGAAATACTTTTGGGGTGCCGGGGTGGCCCAGTTGTTAAGTGTCTGCATTCGGCTCAGGTCATGATCCCAGAGTCCTGGGGTCGAGCCCCGCATCGGGCCCCTGCTCGGCGGGAATCCTGCTTCTCCCTCTCCCACTCCCCCTGCTGTGTTACCTCTCTTGCTGTCTCTCTGCCAAATAAATAAAATCTTAAAAAACAAAATGAGGGCGCCTGGGGGGCTCAGTTGGTTAAGCGACTGCCTTCGGCTCAGGTCATGATCCTGGAGTCCCTGGATTGAGTCCCGCATCGGGCTCCCTGCTTGGCAGGGAGTCTGCTTCGTCCTCTGACCCTATCCCCTCTCATGTGTTCTCTCTCTCTCAAATAAATAAATAAAATCTTTAAAAAAAAAAAAAACCCAAAATGAAATACTTCTATAAGGGAGAAGGAAGTTGGGACAAGAAGTCATCCTAGGCAAAAAGTGGGTTGGTTCCTACAAGGTCACTTTCCTTCAGGAGATGGCTGGAGTCCATCAGGCAAAGTACCTGACTAGTGCTGATCAGGAGATCCTGATGGTTTACGGTTCCATTTTTGGGAGAGCCAAACTGTAATGAAGTCTTGGTTTGGTGACATAGGGCTTAACATAAGGGACTCCATGTTGGGCCTGTTGTTTTATTTCCCTTTATTTTTAGTATGTAATTATTCAGAAGATGTTTTGAAACTGCGTGAATATACTGATCCACATCAGTATTTCACCCCATAGTTTTAGCCACCACTGATGATTTTCAAATCCCAACAGTCGTCCCACATTTATTTATTTATTTATTTTTATTTATTTTTTTTAAGATTTTATTTATTTATTTGACAGAGAGAGAGTGAGCACAAGTAGGCAGAGCAGCGGGCAGAGGGAGAGGGAGAAGCAGGCCTCCCACCGAGCAAGGAGCCCGATGCGGGGCTCGATCCCAGGACCCCAGGATCATGACCCGAGCTGAAGGCAGACACTTAACGGACTGAGCCACCCAGGCGCCCCTCGTCCCACATTTATTAGTTGGCATTCTATTTGGGAAGTAAGTTTCCCAACGGATTGTTCACTCGTTTTTTGTTTTGTTTTTTTTTTTTTTTTAAAGATTTTATTTATTTATTTGAGAGAGAGAATGAGAGAGAACACATGAGAGGGGGGAGGGTCAGAGGGAGAAGCAGGCTCCCTGCCGAGCAGGGAGCCCGATGCGGGACTCGATCCCGGGACTCCAGGATCATGACCTGAGCCAAAGGCAGTCGCTTAACCAACTGAGCCACCCAGGCGCCCCTGTTCACTCGTTTTTTATTAATATATGTCAGTATGGAATAATGCACACTTAAATATATAAGTGGGCCATTCATTGTGATGCTTAAATCTTCCCAGGTTGGGCTCAGGGGAGCTCCTTCCAGCTTGCTTCTTTGTCCCTTTGTGACATCACCGTCACACTGTGGGCTCAACTTTCTGGTACAAAAGAGATTACAGTTTCACCTTATAACTTTCCTTATCCTACCAGGAATCAGTCTTTTCTTCAAGGAGGTTTTCTTCTTTTTGGTAGAGACCAGCACTGAGAAATCAAGAACTGGGTACATGGTGTGCTTCTAGGCCACCTTTGACTACACAGAGTGTACTTTATTGTTTTTTTTTAAGATTTTAATTTTTAATTAATTAATTTATTTATTTGCGAGAGAGAGAATGAGAGGCAGAGAGCATGAGAGGGAAGAGGGTCAGAGGGAGAAGCAGACTCCCTGCTGAGCAGGGAGCCTGATGCGGGACTCGATCCCGGGACTCCGGGATCATGACCTGAGCCGAAGGCAGTCGCTTAACCAACTGAGCCACCCAGGCGCCCCTAAGATTTTTAAAAAATCTATTTATTTGACAGAGACAGCGAGAGAGGGAACACAAGCAGGGGGAGTGGGAGAGGGAGAAGCAGGCTTCCCGCGGAGCAGGGAGCCTGATGCAGGGCTCGATCTCAGGACCCTGGGATCATGACCTGAGCTGAAGGCAGACGCTTAATGACTGAGCCACCCAGGTGCCCCTAGAGTGTACTTTTTAAAAAATATTTTATTTAGGGCGCCTGGGTGGCTCAGTTGGTTAAGCGACTTCCTTCGGCTCAGGTCATGATCCTGGAGTCCCGGGATCGAGTCCCACATCGGGCTCCCTGCTCAGCGGGGAGTCTGCTTCCCCCTCTGCCCTCTTCCCTCTCGTGCTGTCTCTCATTCTCTCTCTCTCTCAAATAAATAAATAAAATCTTAAAAAAATATATTTTATTTATTTGAGAGAGAGTGTGAGTGGGGAGAGGGGCAGAGGGGGAGGAAGAGGGAAAGGGAGAGAATCTCAAGCAGACTCCTGGCTGATTGTGGAGCCCCACAAGGGGCTTGATCTCACAACCCTGAGATCATGACCTGAACTGAAACCCAAGAGTTGGACGCTTAAACAACTGAGCCACCCAGGAGCCCCTGACGTCAGAGTTTATGTTCATAGATGCTACCCATGCCATGACAGAACCAAAACCACTGAAGTTCAGGAAATGTTTTAAGCTTTTTTAAAGTAGGCTCCACACCCAACATGGGAGTAGAACTCATGACCCCAAGATCAAGAGTTACATGCTCTACCAACTGAGCCAGCCAGGTGCCCCAGTGTTTTAAACTTTTTTTTCCTTTTATTTAAAATTTAAATTCTAGTTAGTTGACGTACAGTTCAATATTGGTTTCAGGAGTAGAGTTCAGTGGTTCATCATTTGCACATACCACCCAGTGCTCATCATAACAAGTGCCCTCCTTAATATCCATCACCCACCTCCCTCTACCAACCCTTGGGAATACACAAATAACTGTACAATTTGAGGACTGACAAATGCATTTACCCATGAAACAACTTCCCAATCAAGGTATAGAACAAATCCATGATTCCAGAGAAGGCCCACATGCCTGATTCAGTAAATCTGTGAAAGTCAAATCGCTTTCCTTATTTTTTCATTGTAGTTGTTTGCTTTTTCTCTCATTGATATCTAAACTTTGCCTGTCCTGAGTTTTATGAAATGGAAATCTTTAACTGGAAATATTAACTATATTTATCAATTTTAATTAAGATTTTTTACTTTCTCTGGATTTTTTAAAAAAGATTTTATTTATTTATTAGAATGAGGGGGGTGGAGGTGGGCAGAGGGAGAAGTAGGCTCCCTGCTGAGTAGGGAGCCCCAATGTAGGGGCTTGATCCCAGGACCCCAGGATCATGATCTGAGGTGAAGGCAGATGCTTAACCAACTGAGCCACCCAGGCACCTCATGGATTTTTTAATTAATTATCTAGTAACAAAATTATGCTCCTAGCATTTTTAAAAATTAGTTTTAGTTTTAGCAAAACAACATTAAATCTATGTTTCTGTAAAGGATATTGAAGCAAAATTAAGAACTTTTAATATATTAGAATCAGGATGAAATAACAGCAAAGAAACACTGCAGACTGAAATAGAAATTCTGCAAATAATTCAATTCACAAAATACCTTATGTAATGTAATACCAGTTGAATAGCAATTTTTCCAAAATCCCGCTAGTAATTACAAAATATTTCTAATTAATAAATAAAATGTAAAGTATTCAATGAAGAGAATTGGCCCTGACAAACAAAATATATTAACAAGTTTTTATGCCAAATGGGTGAAGGGGAGGGGGAGGTACAGGCTTTCAGCTATGGAATAAATAAGTCACAGGAATAAAAGGCAGCATAGGGAATATAGTCACTGATAAGGTAACAATGTTGTACAGTGACAGACAATCGCTACAGTTGTAGTAAGCACAGCATAACATACAGACTTGTCCACACACCTGAAACTAATGTAACATTGTGTGTCAACTACACTCAGAAAAAAAAAAAAGACAAAAAATTGAGGATTGTTTCAATGGTACAGAACAGGGAGCCTATGAAACAAACGATTGGTGATAGATGATGGCTAGATGGATGGATAGCTAGCTAGCTA